CATTCATCAGAATTCCTAGAACTCTCACACCTCCTCATGATCATTCTGCTTTGGCTTTTTAAAACCACCCATGCAGTTTCCTGTTGGCTGGTGTTTTCTAGAGGCTGTCCTGTCCTACCTGGCATTAGACAAATGCTGGGCAGACCAGGTGTGTCTGGCTGAGCTCCAGAACTCACTCTGAGTCTGTTCGTTAGCACCTGGTAAACACCGCTCTGCCCAGAGCTTCTGGAATCTTCCAGATTATCATACAGCTTGGGTAGGGTGGAGACTGCAAGGAAGGGGGGCTGATCATGGAGAACCACTGACAGGGGTAGGATGAAGATTAGTAACTTTCAAAACCATGGTGTGGTTTGTCTTAATGACTACATGAACAGGGTTCTTTTGTAACTCTCCAGGTAGAAATGGCTCTTCCAGCCTGGGTCTCCCACAAAGGACTGACCCTTGAGCTCTTCTGCTCAGGTTCCCAACTGAGGCCTCTGGGCTTCTGTGAATTTTTTACTGTAGACAGATCCCCAGAACATAAAGCTGAGGGTGTCGTTCCTGTTGCTCCACAGTGTGCATCTTTGGGTTGTGTTTCCAACCTAAACACTGAGCCAAATTTTGTGTAATCATTTGGAGCCTTTTGCCACCAGAAAGCAGAAACTTTTCAGGTCTGACTTTTTAGACTGAATGAGAATGCATTCCATCTAGACAGTGTATCCTTGGCCATGATGGCTCCTGCCTTTGCCCTTTGCATTCATGAGCCTTGACAGTGTCCTCCAGAGGAGACTCCAAGGAAGCCCTGTGGGTTCTTCCCAGAAAGGTAGATGCTTAACTCTACTCTCTTGGAAACATCACTTGGCTCTGTCTTCCCACTTCTTCACACATCTCTCCCCTTCTCCTCCAGTCTGACTGATCTACTTGACTGAACTGAGCTTTTGAGTTTTCATTTTTAAAGTACTGGCTGACGTACAAGCGTGATGGTTCTGGCAGTGTACAGAACATCAGACCCTTGACATGTATATCTTAGCCGGGCAGTGGTGGCACACGCCTTTAATCCCAGGACTTGGGAGGCAGAGGCAGGTGGATTTCTGAGTTCGAGGCCAGCCTGGTCTACCGAGTGAGTTCCAGGACAGCTAGGGCTACACAGAGAAACCCTGTCTTGGAAAAAACAAAACAAAACAAAAGACATGTACATCTCAATCCAGTGCGCACAGGGATGGTTTATGCAGCTGTGTGTGAGCTGTGCAATCTGAGGCTTATGCTTTGACACTGCCAGACACCTCTGGCTTGATGTTCTCAGAAGCATAGATGGTGAACTGTGGACAAATCCAGGAGCTTCTGGGGATGGAGATCTCTATCAGAGCCCTAGGAGAGGGATTATAGGCAGGTGCTAAAGTAAGCAGGAAAGGAGAGACTGCTCAGTGCCCTCCCTCCTCCCTACCCTTGGCTATGCCATCCAGAGACACAATCACTCTTGTTTGCATCTTGTCTAGAGGCACCCTACCCTGAAAGCCCTCCCTGTCACTGGGCTTCCCTGTTCCTTCCTTTTGGTTTACTTGCTGAGCCCTCTGGAGGATGGTTATAAAGAGAACCTGTTTTGGTATTTAATTCGAGATGCATCGTATAAATCCTGGTTTTATGGTCTGCACAAGTCTTCAGTGGTTATTATAGAGGCATTCAGGATAGTCAATATCAAATTCCTTTCAGATTACTTGTTAAAGATGAAAAGCCATTGAAAAGGGAACAGAGAAAAGAAAGAAAAAGAAGGAACTTGGTAGACAATTGATGTCCTCGGACACTCAGATCCCCTTCCTGCAGAGACAGATTGAATAAGCTGCACAGCTCTGCCTCAGCTCCATGCCTTCCCCAGAGTTGGGCACAAGAAGTTCTAAGATGGAGAGACACAGACTTTAAAGGTGGAAGAGCACAGAACACACTGTGCCAACCGTTTCTCATGGGAAAAGAAACACATTCAGAGGAGGCCTACAAATTAGAGGCGAGAGAGAACTCTGGGCTCCCGCTTCCACCAATAGCTCTATCTACCCCATAAGCCGTGTCCTGAGCCATGCTCTGTGCTCCTCGGGTTTAAAGCCACTTGCAAATCCTACACATGAATGACAAGCTTTCAGATGAAATGACAGCTCTGATAAACCAACACATTGATGCTACAGACTCTGATATTCCTTAAAAATCACATAGCAGGGTTTGAGGAGGTGAGATCACCTCAGGGATACCTTTTCTAGCTGCAACCAGATTATGAAGGTGTTGTGTAGAATCTTGTATAAAATGAAAAAGGGTGGGCTGCCATGGCTGCAGGTGCTGAGTATTTAGGGAGATAGACTGAGAAGACTGCCTACCTGTGCTAAGTAGACAGGCACATTCATAGGCCCTCAAATTATTTATGCAATTCCAATGAAGCAACTTCTGAAGGACCTAGAGTGCTCCTTGCTGCAAAGGACCCAGAGCCCCTGAGCCCAACAGGGCTATGATTTTTATTCCCCTTTCATTGTTCTGAGAGGAACAGAAGCCCTGGACTGCATCTGTGATTGCATGTGTGCATATGTGTTTAAGTGGCATGAGGAAGCTAAGCACTGGGGCAAGAAGAAAGTTCTAGACAGGGTTTCCCATGGCCATACTTCCATTGTCCAGCTCTTTGGGGGAGAGCAGAAGTGCTTTCTAAGCTGAGAAGAGTGGGAGCCAAGCCCGGCCTCAAGTTCTGTGTACTTGGTGGATTTTTTGTTTGTTTTTTTTCCCCTCAGCTCTCTGTGACCTGGTTGCCCTGGGATTAGCAAGGGCCTGAGTGGACCCCTGATAATAAGGAACAGAGGAAGGTGAGGGAGGCCTGGAGCTTTTGGGGTTGGCCAGTGACAAAGCAGTCCTCAGTTCCCCAGAGAGCAGGGTTGACTACAAGGCATATTCTGCTTGAAGATAAGTGGTCTGAAGTTTTGTTGTTGTTTTGTTTTCCATTGTCTGGGAATTAGTGCCAAACTACTGTGTCCACCCACCAGAAATTAACAATTTTATGGGAAGAACTCCAAACAGTAAGTTTATACAGTGGAAAAGTTTTCAAGTAGTGGGTACAAGTTCAACTTCCCTGCCTGCCCCTTAACCTCCGGGTAATTATACCTTCAAGTCTAAAATCTATGTCTCCCAAACTTGTGATTTCACCTTGTCCCTGGAATCAACAAAGGTCATAAAATGAAGGCTCCCTCCTCATTTATATAAACACTGTTCTCCACCAGGACCTGCTCCCCTGTCTAAAACTGTAGAAAACCTGAAGGCCATGCTGTTGTCCTGTGCTACCATCTCATCTCTTCCAAGCCAGAAGAGCCCTCCACCCCGAGGGACACACAGAAGCTTCACCCAGGAATAGCCCTTTATGAAGGCAACAGCGGACAGCTGTTTTCACATGGGCAGGAAAGACTGACACAACAGACAATCCAGGAAATGTTACCATTTCACCTACCAACTAGACTAAGCATTTCAACAACTGACTAAATTTACTGGCTTTATAAGACTCTTTAGAGGCACAGACATGACCCTTGGATTTCCTCTGTGTATGTATCTGAGATAGAGTCTCTCTACATAGTCCTAGCTACCCTGGAATTCACTATGTTGAACAGACTGGGCTGGAACTCACAGAGATACTCCTGCCTCTGCCTTCTAAGTGTTGGGATTAAAGATGTGAGCCATTGTGCCTGGCCTCAATTGCATAGTTTTAAAATACGTTTATTTTTCTTAAAATTTTAAAATAGTAAACTTTAAAGGCTGAGGATTGAGCTCAGTGGTAGAGTATTTGTCTAGTATACTTGATGCCCTGAGTTTAATCCCTAGCAAAACACACACACACACACACACACACACACACACACACACACACACACACACGATAGCAAAAGGGATATTGCATTTGGGTTTTAGGTAATGTTCTTGACTGTCTTGCATGTGTACATGTATGAGTGATACCCTCCCCCCCCAAAGGGAGAGAGAGAGAGAGAGAGAGGGAGAGAGAGAGAGAGAGAGAGAGAGAGAGAGAGAGAGAAATACCCAAGGAGGCCAGGAATCCCACAGAACACAGAATCAGAAGAGTCATTCCATCATCACATACCCACTGAAGCTGTTATGGCCTGACATGAGAGTGGATGTGTCTAGTCCCAGTGCTCACAAAGCTGAGGCCTGAGACCTGTGAGTCTAAAGCTAGCCTAAGCCACATAGAGAAACTAACACATGCCTACACTTCTCCCCACATGCGACCAACAGAGTGTCACTATATTTGTCTTGTCATGCTTTCTTATATATCAGTAGATATTTAGGACACATACCATTACAGGAGAATAGGAATATAACCATAACAATAGGAAGCCATTCTCCACATTTGTCTGTTAGTTCTCTTTAAGTGTGAGTGGTGTTCTTCTCATACGAAGAACTGGTTACAGATGGTTATGAAGAGTTAAGATCTCTAGAGAGTCTTACAAACATGACCCTTGGATTTCCGTGTGTGTGTGTGTGTGTGTGTGCGCGTGTGTGTGGGTGTGTGTCTGAGACAGTGTCCCTCTACATAGTCGGAGCTTACCCTGGAATTCACTGTGTTGAACAGACTGGCCTGAAACTCAGAGATCCTCCTGCCTCTGCCTTCTAAGTGTTGGGATTAAAGGCGTGCACCACCATGTCTTCTCTACCTTCCTGACTTGCCAATGTTAGTCCATACTGGACACTGCAGCCTCTGATGAATGAACACTGTTTATTAGCCCAGGAGACACTTGACTGGCAACACACACCCAGGGCAGAGATCCCTGAAGTGGGGGCAGGGAGGAGGGCTGCTTATTGGTGTGAGGACAGCTAGCCTTTTTCTCACTTAGCACCAGATCTCCTCAGGGTGTTGTCCTAAGATCACATTGCTTCTCTTTCCACCAGGATTTTTAATTGTTTTCAAGATATTGTAATGTCCTTCTATCCTGGAAAAAAAAAATGCCACAAAATCACTCCTCCCCCCCAATCCGATTTAACGAGACAACGACTGAATTTTTCAAAAGGAATATTTACTAGGAAACTAAAGGGCAACCAAACAGAACACAGGAGAACAGAGGCAGAGTTGCAAATGAGCTGAGGGAATTCAGATTGATAGCCAGCTTCTGGCCACAGCTGTACTGGCTAGGTAAAGCTATCCACACACAAAGCCATCTGTTCCCCGCGTGGGCAGTCTTCCTCTTCGCCTGAATGCCCCCGCAAAGCTATCCTTGAGTCAGTAGCTTATTCCATGGTTCCCCGGGGCTGCTAGCTCAAGGCGAGGAGATCCTGAGGTGGGAACAACAGGCTACCCCAGGACCTCCAACCTGGGCTCCCATTACCAAGGACATGTAAACGCTTGATAAGGTGGCTGCTTAGTAATCTTTTGCTGGAGCCATTCTAATTTCTTTGGGACCATTCTTCTAGGCGGATCTGCCTGGACCTAGTGACAGTGTTTCTGTTCACTGTCCTGTTGGCACTCACCCTTCATACTTTGGTTCTAAACACTGATATGGTTCTGGATGTCTGAATGGAAGGGATGGGCAAGAGAGGATCCACAGGGAAGGGAAGTGTGTTTTTCTCATTTATCAGACATAGGTTGAACTTTGAACACAGGTTCCCATTGAACCCCTTCAAATGAAGTTGGAAGGAGATGGGAGTGGATCAGGCTGGCTGGGGAACGAACTAAGCTTGAGGGAATTAACATTGCCTTACACAACCAAAGGCCTCCACCCTTTTAACATACAACAAGATCTGGCATTGGCAGTAGGATTTCTTGTACTAGGTGTGTATGGAAGCCAGAACTTTCCAACATCTACTGTGATGCTGCATCTCTCAGGAGCAACCTGCACTGAATCATGAAGTGAAATGAAGAGAGGCCACTCTCCAGGATGGTTAACTGCAACCCAACTCTGGACTATGTTACAGAGACTGGAGGGGAAATGGAATTGTGGAGTAGTGATGCAAGGGAAAGGCCTTCTAGACCCATGATGAGAGAGGACCTCTAGGTAACAGCCCCTGGTCCATTCAGGGGATGCTGTGGCCTTTGGTTTCATTTCCTGGAGGCAGACACAGGAAGGATGAGGTGCAGAACTGGCAGTGGACTGGTCAAGAATGCTGGGTAATGGATAAGCTACCCTGAGAGAGCCCTTGGCCTTCATTCTTGTGGGTATTTCCATTCCCCAAGCGCTGCAAAACTGTGTCTGAGATGGAAAAAAGCCTCTCTCTGTGGCTGCCCAAGTCTATACCCTGGGCTATTGCATATGGAAACAGCCAGAGGGCAGTTGTGTCAAGAAAGTCCAAAAGCTGTGAGTTTTCTTAGTGTCATCTCTCAGTGATCTTATTTCATGACACATACTTCTGTGTCCAGGAAAGACTATTCCCAAATGTACATGCCACTGGGAGACAAGCATCTCTAATAAGGATGGCATGTTTCATTCTAGTAATATCACTGCTGGAAAGTAAGAGGCTGCTGGCTACCTGGAAATAATGTTTTAGAATCCCGGAACCTGGGTTCAGCTGTGAAGAATGATCATGGCTAAGTGAGACTATGCCATGTGTATGGGAGGGAACAGTGAGTCTGCTATGAACTGACCTGTCTTGCATGACTTTCCAGGCTGGCTTGGTCTAGTATTCTCTTGGGCCATTCCTTGGAAAACTGGAACACTTCCTGGGGTGGAATTATTCTCTGAAGACAGTCATTAGCTCACAGGTAGTAGAGTTTGATTTGAAATCTGCTGCCTATTTAGCACCTGGATAAATATATATTTTTAAATATTCTGTCCTTCCAGGGCATCCAATCAAATGACTGCATGTTAGACTGACCACTGTCAGGACCAATATCCTGCCCATACAATCAAAGGCCTTACATTAACCACTAGGAGTCTTGGCACTCAGGACTCTTACTACGCCACCTGCTCTCTTCCACAGGACAACTTGGTTTTCGACAGTGAGGGATGAGCTTCCCTAGAGCATATCACCTTGGGCCACCTGAAGAAAACAGATGAACCATTCAGATTCAGCAGATCCAATTTGGAAAGAGGGCCAGTTATTGCTGTGGTCACAGCTGAGTATTTCATCACTGGAGTCATCTGGGTGTTGCTAGGTAGGAAAAGTTACTGAAGATCTTTGTTACATGGTTGTCTGACTGTTTCCTTGGCACAAGCAGTCTTCTTATCCATAGTCATCGTTTCTGTAGGGAGAAGAAACAGAGAGTGAGCTGGTTTTCACTTGTATATTTTTAATGTGTACCAAACAACCACCAGACACTGAGATGGATGCTGGAGACACACAAACTATGTGTGAGATATTCATCCAGATTTCAGAGGACTCATAAGGGGGTAAGTGAACTATAGAGGTGTACACAACCTTCTAGCAGACTTTTTGAGGCCTCTAAAGGGATTCTGAAGTATTGGTGCAGAGGAAGAATCGTCAGGTCTGAGCTGCAGGGGCTGTGCTGTTAGGAGTGTGGCGGTAGCAAGAAGACTGGGCTGGAGAGAGGGGGTTTGAGTGGTGAAACCTTGTAACACTCAATCCTTGTTTCCCAGCTGTGAAAGGTATACACACATGCATGCGTGCGTGCGCGCACGTGTGTGTGTGTGTGTGTGTGTGTTTTCCTGGGGAGAGAGGAGCCAGGTCCTTGTACATGTTGAGCAAGTGTTCTAGCATTAAGCTATACCCCCAGCCCTGACCAGTGAACTTCCTTAGTAGAACCTCAGACTTAGATAAGCAAGTACTCTTGTGTTGCTCACTCAACCCAGCATTCAGCTGAGATTCAATTCATGGCATTACCATTATATACAGACTAAGGGTATTAATATAACAGGCACAGAGAGAGGACAGAAACCGAAGTGACTTCAGTGGCTACAGTGAGAATTTTACACAGTCTGAGAGGGCAGCAAACATTCTCAAATTGGAACATGCAGACTGCATTTCAGAAATCAGAGTTCTGCAATAAAGCTACAACTTACAGAAAGTAATTAAGGCCAGGGCACATGGAAGACAGAGAGCCATATCTGGCTTTGACGTATGTAGGTGCTTGTACACACACACACATCCCTCAGGAAAGACATATTCATTTCTGAAGGTAGTAGGGAAGGGCAAATAGATATCTGTCATTTGTTCAATGACAGATTGCCTGAGGTGTACATATGTATTCAGACCCAGGAGTCACTTCTATATTGGGCTAGTTATGCCTTGCCTGGAATGTGTTCTTAGGGCTAGACTTTTAAAACTAGTTCCCATATGGAGAAAAACCACTAACAGAGGCCACAATGCCAATGACCCAAGTAACAACATGGCCCTAACCAGACACTGCAGACGGAGGGGACTCATTTGATGCTTTTCTTTGTGTGTGTAATACCAGTCTCTGGCATGGCCTCAGGGAATGTTGAGGAGTGGCCTGCTAGTTTCTCCTCTGCTTCAGATGAAACCCTTTGGCTCAATGAGTCTTTTGGCACCAGTCCTGTCTGGGCCTAATGTCCCTGTTTTCTTCTTCTGGATATTGCCACTAGGTTCCAAAACACTGTGGCCAGGGACCAAGCCTACAGGCTGACAGGAGAAAGGAGTTTTGATTTATCTGACGGGGTGGCTGATCATCTCTATCAATAGTCTTACAAGGGCCAGGGAAAAGTCAGATGCCTAAGTTATGTCTGAAAAAAGGAGCTTGGTAGAGTTTGACATGGATGTGACTTATGCTGTCTCCCAAACCCTTTTGAGATAGACAGGGATAGGGACAGAGAGAGGGAGAGAGAGTGGGAGAGGGAGAGAAAACAAGAATGTGAGCTCGCTCGCTCATTCAGTTCTGTTAAACAAAACACACTGCAACATCTTCCTAACTTGCATCATCCAGTGAGTTGCTTCTCATCCAAAATTTTCATAAGAAGATCTTAGAGAAGAGTTTCCTCCAGTTCAGAACAGCAATGACCCAGTCGGGCTGTGTAGGGTTGGGAGAGTGGAGGCAGAAGTGGTGGTTTAAGCACTGTGTGTCTAATCTTGGCCATGCTGGTTCCAGTGCTACGACTACTGAGCACAGCAGCTCTCTCCTCGGTACCAGACCCAGTGGCCTTCCAAGCTGTGTCATGGGTTTGGAAAGCTTCAGGATATTCAGCAGCCTGACAGGAAGTGGTGGTTACAATCCTATCTGACCAGAAAGGGTTCTAAGTGGATTTAATTGTCCTGAGACATAAGGACTTGATTGGAATTGAATTGAATTGAAATTGAAGACGAGAGCTGCCCCGGTGAAAACTGTAATGTGCAGTGACACTTCAATCACAAAGACGACAGCTGATGTGAGACAGGCCATTCACTCTGACCCCAAATTAAGAACACGGAATGATCAAGGGGGGACGGTTGATTGCATTTCCCTGTGAATCTGAAAATGGGTTCTGATTACAGGAAGTTTCTAAGGGCTTTACACTAAGAATTCTGTCAAAAATGGAAGTAATTCATTCTTATTATATGAGTCAATCTTATATGTGCTTAATATTGTTACTCTGGCATTTAAAATTCTTTAATCTCAAAAGTGTAAAATCTTAGCATTTTCTGGCTGCTGAGTCCAGCTTTATAAATATTTACATGAAACAAACACGGCCCACCTAGAATCAGGTGAGCAACACCTTCCCTCAAAAGTGCTGTTCTTTTTATTACTCTGTTTCCCCTCGTAGAGCTAGCATGCTAAAGAAATAAGATAGTGTGTGGTATCCCAGGGATGGGGCAGTCACAAACTCTACAACAGGACCCACTGTTACTGTGCCAGGTAGATGGACGCACCATCAAAGTGACCTCCAAATGCTTTCTTCGTTCTCCGCTGCGCCTCTCAGCCCTCACCAGGTAAGCTTCCTTTTGCAGTTGGCTGTGGTCTATCTATACAGAGGCTACAAATAGTCAGTGTGCAGAGCTCACTGTTTAGGACTTGCAGCTCAGTCCTAAAGGAGATTTCTCCAGCACACCTTCACCAGGGAGCACAGTGGAAGAGAAGGGGAAGGAATGGAAGTCAGGGACTGGGAGGAGTGCTGGGAAGCACTATCTTCTGGCCCGGACATGGCTGATGAGATTGTGAATGCACTGAGGCTGGGCTACCTGCACAGGACCTGGATTCATGGTGACACTTCGTCACAGAATAGGGAGGGCTCATGAGGGACTAACAACAGTTATTGGTGGCCAAGGGAGGAGGAGTCACTTCCTTCACTGGTGTTGCCACGATTCAGTAACTGTCCTCCTACCCATCCCTGGGTAACCCAATTAAACTTAGTGGGTTGCACACACCAGACATACATGAAAGGAGGAAAAGGGGACATATTGGGAAGAAGGATTTTAAGAAAAGAGAGGGGTGGGATGGGATAAGAGAGGTTAAAATGTAAAGGAATAAAAATTGAAGCAACTAAAGAAACAGAAGAGCAGAAGAAATAAAACTGTAAATGCAATGGCATTCCCACCAGCAGCTTGAGGTAATAGCTTAGAAAATGGAAATGCCCGTTTAGGTAAAGAGTACCATGTTAAATATTTGGGATCCATCTTAAGAATTTGTATATCATATTGTATTTAATCCTTTCTTTTAATCTTTATGTCTAACGGTATAATTAAAATTTTCCTCTGGCAAGGTAAGGGATTTGATAAAGGTAAGAAACAGCACAGGCAGACTCTGCCACCATACTCTTGTGATCTAAATACATGCTCTGGAGGAGCGCAGTAGGCTCTGGATGCCACCACAGAATCTCTCTATAAAGCAGTCTTAGGGGGCTGAAAGACCTCTTGCAGAGGATCAGTTTGGTATCCAGTATCCGTGTCAGGTGGCTTACAACAACGGCCCCTAAGTGCAGCTCCAGAGGAATCCAACACCCTCTTCTGGTTCCTATAGGCACCTTTTCTCACAGGCACATAACAAAAAATGAAAAAAAATTAAAATCCTTAAAGAAGTCTCAAGTCTGGAAAAGAATTGGAATAGTTCAGGTGTCACAAGAAAGTGATTCAAGTCCATTGTCTAGTTGTCAAAGGTAAAAGGGTGTGTGGTAAAAAACGTGCACACACATGAGTACAAGAGAGAGAGAGAGAGAGAGAGAGAGAGAGAGGTGTGCATGTTACTTACAAATAATAGCTCATTAGCTACACACAGAGGCAAGGGCCCCAGTGACAATGCTATTCAAAAGGCAAATCTGTTTTTTCAAATGAGGCAGTGCATTAGGTAATTCCTACTTATTGAGATCAAGTGGAAGATACATGGAGTGTGCCACTCCAAATCTGTATCATTACAATTACTCATTAACAAACGCAACAAACATTTCCTGAGCACCAGCACTCAAAAAGAACCATGCCTACTCACCTCTTAAAGAGCTCAAAGTAACCTGAGAGGCCAAGAATAATGGATCTCTCTCAGCAGAAAGCTCTGACTGTGTGCTGTGCATGTGTGTGGGACACATGATGCCATCTATCCAAATCACAGGATAAGAAGGAAAATAGTGTAAGAAAACTTGGGTTGGGAGGGAAATTCAAGGACATACATGCTGTGCTGGATTATAGATGAGATCAAAAGTCTGGACCGTCTTAGAGGTGTTTGGGTTGTTAATGCCTAGCACTGGAAAAACTCCCCCAGGAGGCAACTCGTGTCCCACCCTGTTTCTGTATAGTTATTTTACCTCTTCAATTTGAAATGCAAGTATTAGGATAGCCACAGGTATTTTTCATTTCTATTGAAGACCTGAACTGATAATTCTATTCCTATTAATTGGAAAATTAACTTCATAACTAGAGACAGGTACAATACATAGAATTTGTAAATGGCAAAATAATGAAGCTTTTGCACAAGAGTATTTACTCAGAACCAATTTGTATTTTGTGACACTAATTTTGTCTTATGTTTTACTCTAAATTTATTTGTCTAGCTTCAAAAATAAAAAAGACATGCATGGTCTTATGTAGCCCAGGCTGACTTTCAACTTGACACACAGTCGAGGCAAGCCTTAAATTCCTGATCTTCCTGCCCCTACTAGTCCAAGGTTTGGGACTATAGACACATATTTGTACCATCATCCACGACTTATTTGATTACTAAGGCACATGCCTAACAACAATCTGCTACACTAGAAAATTACTAAATTCATCATTTTAATGGCCATACTTAGGATAACTTATTTTTTCTCTATTTTTGGCTGTCAGATAGATGTTTCTATGTAGCTCAGGCTAGCTTCAAACTTT